CCTTCAGACGGATACCCGATATCCCACCAGACCACATCTCAAGAGCGAAAAGGAAGTAGGGCGGGCAGGCCTTCCTAAGACTTTTAAACACTTATTATATAAGTATACATACATAGACATGCAATTGATAATAAGTATTAAAGAGATTATATGAAAGTATTTGATAAGTAAATGAGTTTGTAAAACAATTTGTAACAATACGGTTTGATAAACAGTTCGAACGGTAAGAAATCACTAGTTTTGTAGTTATTAATCACATGTGATTGATGTAATAACTATAAGTAATTAACTTGTATTCCCCCCCCCCCCCCCATAAAGCATTTAAAAACATTTAAATCATTGGTTAAGGGGTATGAACTCACCTGTTGTGAGTGGTATGGATGAACTGAAGATGTAGGATCGCTAGGTGACAAGTGAAGTCCTGAACACACTTTATAACCCGAGTTAACATATAATACCACATATATGTATCCAATTAGTCTTAAACTACTAATTGATAATGTTAAGAAATCCTAGAACATAATAAACACTTTATATAAGTGTTATAAGCCCTAAGGATTTCATCTAAGCTATTGTGGGACAAGGCACTTGGGTTTCAGGTTCCAAAGGACCCTACACTTGAGTTTACTCTTCCATGGCCATCACACAAGGAGTTCAAGGTTGTAAACTCATGAGTTTACGGTCGTGAACTCTCAAGCTTGGTGACGTTTGGTGTTTTGAACTTCTAAATGATCTCTAGAAGTATTCCAACTTGGTGGATTAATTCTTGGAAGGGTTTAGGGCATAGAAACACTCCTTTGAGGAGTTTACGGCCCAAAGACCAAATCCCTTTGATTTTACTGCCGTAAAATCTTGTGAAGGGTGTTTTTGATGTTTTCAAGTCTCATACACATGTAGGATACGTTCTAGACTTTTACCCTAAGCAAATGAAGGCCTTGGGCACACTTTCGTGCCTTAATTTGATGTTCACAGCCCAGGAGCATTCATAGGGCCGTAAACTCTCAAAAGTGGGGTTTTTGGATGTGTTTAAGTCCTTGATTTAAGTGGAAACAATTCTATGTAAATGTCCAAAGCCTTAGGAGTGTTAAAAACACCTTTTGGTCCTTGTTTTTGGAGTTCACAGTCCAAGAACTCCTTGGGCCGTGAACACCTAAATTTGGGTGTTTCTTTGGTGTTTTCTTGTCTTAAGTACACTTACATACCATCCTAAGGTCGTTATTTAACATGCGGAAGGGACTAGGCATCATTTAAGCCTCATATAGGAGTTTACTCTCCAAGAACGTTCTTGGGCGGTAAACTCCCGGATCTCACAGATTTGTTATGTAATCGAGGTTATTAAACATGTTATAAGCCAAATAATGTAACTAGAGAATGGTACTCACGATTTGGGATGAAAACCCGAAGATCCGTGAGAGAGAAATGGCTTTTCTCGAGTTGGAATTGTCAATAATGAATTAATATGGCTCAAAATTCTACATATAGTCTTGAGATTTTTGGCAGAAAATATTTTATTCCCGTAATGAACTCTAATGAAATAGAGTTTTGGAATAACCGTTTTGCACAAAACCCTAGTGCATCCACTCTCCTGATATCTCCTTAAGTGTAAATCCCGAAATACTCAAACTTATACAGAAAAGTCTGAAAATTTATTATGACTGTTATAACTTCTATTGACCTTATAAAGTTCGTACATAATGGAAATTTCGGGTTGTCACATGAGTTCATATTAGATTTGTGAGTGTTCAAAATTAAGAAAAAATGTTTCCACTCAGTTCAAGTAAATTCCCAAACCCAAATCATCGAGTATTAAAAGTCGCGAAGAACCTATTTTCTTAATTTGGAGGAACATAATACCAACATTTATGTATCTGTATGGAACTAGTTCAATTTCGATTTTCTCTTTTTGCTCACCTCTAAATCAAATAGGAAATTCATATAAATCAAATTAGTTAACACAAAACCCAGTCTATACTAGAATTATAAGACCATCCACATCAATGTCACAATAACATCGATCTTTCAAATTATTCCACAACAACTTTTGCAATAATCCCGACATTAGTGTCTTAAAAATAATCTTTCAAAAGGTGGCCTCCGACTAAAATATTAACAGCTAAATTATAATTTTAGTTGAAACCCCAACTTAGTTGTAGACCCTTGTTACCTAAAAATCTTACAACACATGTGCAAAAGAAATACATGTATAAAGGTCGATAGCATATGACATTTGTTCCATATTTTTTGCAAAAGAAAACCACTAGCAATAAATATATGTGTAAGTATTGGCTTCAGAATTCTTGATTCCTTCCCTTTAAACCGGTAGAGTCTATTCATAGTCTCAACAATAGCTACACATGAAAAAGTGATTAAAATGCCTTGAAAATGATATCGATGACTCATACATATCAAATATACGTGTTTACCACTTTTTCTTGGAACCCATTGCAAGGAATAGAGTAGAGTTTTTTCTTTGTTATCATTTCCCCCTATATGATGGGAAAAACACGATCATATTGTAAATAACAATGTGGGACTAAACTTCAAGTAACATCCGCTTTCCATATATACTTCTTTCGAGTTTGAATTGTTAAATTTAATTTGTGTGAGTTATTGGCTTGGCCATGGCATGGTGGTGGACGGACCATGATGTGGTATTTCCAATTTAATGGATACGCATTACCGATGCATCACGTATTGGTAAGGCCTTAGCCACGACGTGGTGGTGATTGGGGTTTAAAACCCTAGATCTCGGGATTCAAGATATATTTAAAGGCACTAACTCCTAGGGTTGCCTTATTTGACAGTCTCCACCCTCTGAGATCATATTCCACCCCAAACCCTAGCCTCCTTATGTGTGTTTTGATTATGTAAGCCTGTTGTGTGAATATTAAAGGAATAAGTAGTCTCTATCATTGCTTATGTGATTGGTTCTAGCTTAAATTTATCATCTTCGTCACATTTTTGATCATTTGGATGTATAAAGTTGTTATCTTGATCATTAATTCTATAGATCTATCGTTATGTCATTTTATGAGATTTTTGGTCCAAATCTTCTTGAACTTGGAGACTGAGTGAACTCCAGAACCCTTGAGTGCATTCTATGGCTTCTAGACCATGGTGGTTGCTAGAAAGATGGCTTTGTATGACTTATTTTGGTGTCCATGCTTTTGGTGCATCCATTAAGAACTTAGATATCGAGATCTTGACTTATTTGGATAACTTAATGGATAAAGTTGGAAACTTATTCCATCATGACTTTTGGAAGGATCAAATCTAAACTTTTAAACTCTAGAACCATTAAGTTGTTAGAAACATTTCCCACATAGTGGTGAGTTGCTTGTCACAACTTGGTGGCTAGTTTCACTGTGAGTGCTTTGGTGTGTAGCCACCACGATGTGGCTATGGTGTTAGCCACGATGTGGTGACTCGACCCTTGACTTTTGTGCATGCATTGTATGTGTTTTGTTGTGTTGGGTATTTTGGGGAACTTACTAAGATTTAGCTTACAGTTGTGGATTTAAATGTTTAAGGTACTTCTAAGGATCAGGTCAAGGCAAAGGTGTAACTGTGCACATCATCCAGTAGTTGTTATGTTTTGGGATATACTATGATTTTGATACTCTTTATTATAATATGATTATGGAACAATGTTTTTTGTGACTTATGTTTTATGGAAAAATGGTTTATTCTCTTTTAAAAATTGAAAACTTTTACTCTAGTTTTTGGGACGTTATACTTTGTTTAGTTAAACTTTATCAACTCAAATGAACATTTGAGCTAGAAACCAAAGAATGTATTTACAATGAAACTAAAACAAACCCAATGCTACTTATATGATCAATATAATTAAGTCAAAAATGTAGGTAAGAAATCAATATGATATGTCGTAATTTTAGCATGAAATCCCTTAAAACAGGAGTAAAAACAGTAGGACTACTAGAGCAGCTTCATCTCTACTAGCACTGATATTTGAGCAACACAAAGTAGCCTTTACATATATTGGAGACATATAATAACCATCATATTGTTGTAAATGACAACTACAAGTATATGGAATAAAAATATAAGAGAAAGGATTGTAATACCTGTTTTTCATTACAGGTAATATCTGAAAGGGGGTACAATATGTTCATAAGATTAGCCGGTTAAATAAAGCATGGAGATGATTTATGTTGTGTATTGGTTTTCAACATAATATTTCTAAAGAAATTTGTACTTTACACGGAGACAATTTTGTGGATATAAAGTTTGTTATGTATGAAGAAGTTATGAATGTTCAAAGTTAAGGTGAAAGTACATTATTTCAATAAAATCAATGGAAGTCAAAGTGAAACAATCAATTCTCGTGTAACGACCCAAATTTTACAAAGATATTTTTCATGTTTAATTAATAAAACACCTTTGCATAAATCATGAAATCCCAACATAATTGTTTTCAAATCAACATTCATTACAACTTTATTTAAATCATCAGATTGTCCCCCAAACATATCAATGAAAGGGAGATAGAGTGCACGCCACGCCATCACACCCTGCCCTTGCCTGTGCTCAGATGTGCCTAAAATAAATCCACAAACGATAAGCTTGAAAGATTAGTGAGCTCCCCAGAGCATAACCACACACAATCACATATCACATAACGTACTAGCTAAAAAACTATACAAACCACATAAGTCATGCATACAACATATGAGGAAGCCCTGGAACCCCCCCCCCTCCCCCCCGGCTCTTATACCTATTGCCACTGGAACCCCCATGTGGTCTTACCATCTGCCATAGGAACCCCTACATAGTCTTCCTGCCATGGGAACCCCCACATGGTCTTCCTACCAAGCAAATAACATACAAGCTAATCATGCAAATATACTAGGATGCCTTGGAAACACTCTAAGGTCTTGTACGATTTTACAAAGGAACCCCCGGAGGTCTTCCATACAAAATTCATACTTATCATAACACATAATCACTCGACAATCCACATGTCATAGAATGGGTCGTCCTTAGTGCCTTAGAACCATTGGTATGTTTAGAAGAGTCACCTTGTCTGCTGAATACAAAAGCTTCTCTCCTAACAATCTGTAACCTCCTGTGCTGAACAATAATAATAATCTATGTTAGAGCTTCACTCAATCAAAGGAAACCTCAATAATAAATACCCAAAGGTGCCTACAACATTCGTTGCAAGAAAGGTGTGTTGCTCAAGGAATATCTTGAGGCGTTGCCCCCATGTAAGAGTAATGTTATTTAAGTGGATATCGAGGCTTCTATGAGATGCATGCTTATACACAAGGATCTTCTCACCATCTTCATCACAGAATCCCAGGAGAGAGATGAGATTTTCATGTCTGTAATGAGAAAGCATAAATATCTCTTTCCAGAACTCAGGGTCTCCTTACCCATATCCACGATCAAGACGCTTAAAAGCCACGACATCTTGCCCCTCACACTGAGAAAGTACTCCTTTGTACACATACCCAAATCCACCTTTACCAATAACGTTATTGTTATCAAAGTTTTTGGTGGCTAACTTTATCTCATCCAGATGGAATTTAAGATGTTGAAACTCCTCCAGGAAGGCCTCCATTTACAAATAAAATCTCTTGATTATAACTAAAGTCAGAAAAATCAGAATCGAACTAATAAGACCAATAGGTTTTGTAAAGGAGAAACTGACCAAATAGATTTTCGAATCCACAACAAACTTACAGTAAATATGAGGTTTTAGATAATGAGAATTGAGATGTTGTTAGAGGCCTTCTGTAGTTGCTTACAGGAAATATCATCAAAAAATTCCAAATTTCCCTCATTTAAATTTTTTAACTCCTCGGGAGTTGCACCAAAGTCCCAATGCTTTGCCACCTGACACTTTTAGTCCCTCCATTTTTATGGTATTGTTATAATCTATAACATAGAAATTCTGATTAATTAAGTTCTATTTTCTTTCATATACATGAAATTATTTTATTAACTTAGTGTTAAATATAGGAAAGAGAAATTTACCAGTCGTAATGGGTGCTCTAAGATCCAAAAGGTCTTAGCTCGTCTCATTTTAATATATACGATCAAGTAATAGTTGATACAATGATTAAAATATAATCAACATATTTAATAATTTCTTAATATGAAACTAAAACAAACCCAATGCAACGTATATGATCAATATAATTAAGTCAAAAATATAGGTAAGAAATCAATATGATACGTTGTAATTTTAGCATGAAATCCCTCAAAACAGGAGTAAAAACAATAGGACTACTAGATCAGCTTTATATCTACTATCACTTATATTTGAGCAACAAAAAGTAGCTTTTACATATATTGGAGACATATAATAACCATCATATAGTTGTAAATAACAACTACAAGTATATGGAATAAAAATATAAGATAAAGGATTGTAATACCTGGTTTTCATTATAGGTACTTTCTGAAGGGGGTACAATATGTTCATAAGATTAGCAGGTTAAATAAAGCAATGAGATGATTTATGTTGTGTATTGGTTTTCGAAATAATATTAGTAAATAAATTTGTAGTTTACACGGAGAGAATTTTGTGGATATAAATTTTGTCACGTATGAAGAAGTTATGAATGTTCAAAGTTAAGGTGAAAGTACATTATTTCAAGAAAATCAATGGAAGTCAAAGTGAAATAGTCAACTCTCGTGTAACGACCCAAATTTTACAAAGAAATTTTTCATTTTTAATTAATAAAACACCTTTGCATAAATCATGAAATCCCAACATAATTGTTTTCAAATCAACATTCATTACAACTTTATTTAAATCATCAGAGTGTCCCCAAAACATATCAGTGAAAGAGAGATAGAGTGCACGCCACGCCATCACGCCTTTCCCTTGCCCTTGGGCTCAAATGTACCCGAAACAAATCCACAAACAGTAAGCTTGAAAGCTTAGTGAGTTCCCCAGAGCATAACCACACACAATCACATATCACATAATGTACTAGCTAAACAGCTATACAAATCACATAAGCCATAAATACAGCATATGAGGAAGCCCTGGAAACCCTCCTGGGTCTTATACCTAGTGTCACTCGAACCCCCATGTGGTCTTACCATCTGGTATGGGAACCCCTACATGGTCTTCCTGCCATGGGAACCCCACATGGTCTTCCTATCATAGGAACCCCCACATGGTCTTCCTATCAAGCAAATAACATACAAGCTAATCATGCAAATATACTAGGATGCCTTGGAAACCCTCCAAGGTCTTGTACCATTTGCCACAGGAACCTCCCGGGGTTTTCCATACAAAATTCATACTTATCATAACACATAATCAATCGACAATCCACATGTCATAGAATGGGTCGGCCTTGGTGCCTTATAACCGTTGGTATGGTGAGAAGACTCACATTGTCTGCTGAATACCTAAGTTGCACTCCTAATAATTTGTAACCTCCTGTTCTGAACAATAATAATAATCTATGTTAGAGATTCACTTAATCAAAAGAAACCTCAATTCCCAAATCAGGCCAAAAAAACCATTTCTTTGCTAATGGGCCCACAGTCCATATACAAAACCAATAATGGGCCTCTTGGCCTAATAAGGCCCAACCAATATATCAATGGCCCATTATAGATGAAATGTCCCATAATTCACAGAATGCAACCAAGTTCAATAACCAAAATAAGGCCCAAAAGCTCTAAGGCCCAAAACAGATTCGGCACATCAGTGATGCGTACGCTTAGCGTACCATCCCGGTACCGCAGCGTACTGAGGTTTGGGGTTTACGCATCGCGTACACTGGGTTATGCCCAACCTACAACCAGATTAAGCACTTTCTCCATTAAGTGCTTAATACTCAATCCTTTTACGTCCAAAAGTCAAATCTTGACTTGTTAAAACGTCCTAAGGCATAAAGTTGGCAACTTTATGCCTTTGCATGCCTCATATGCACCCAACACCCCCATTACAACCTTTTCAAGGTTCTTAACCCATGCATAAAGTCAAAGCTACCATCAAGACTCTATTTTTATGATACTAAAGGACCAAGGAACCTCAGATCTGTCATCCCCATCTTCTGGAGTTGCTTCACTCATAAATGGACATCCAAAATCCATCAAAGGGATATAACTAGAAAACCCTAGCTAGATCTAAAGATTTAAGTGGAAAGATCCAAGCTTTTTACCTCCAGGAACTCCTCAAGGTCGTCTATGTGTAGATTCTTGAAGCCAAAAGACACTCCAGGCTTCCTTGACCACTTATTCTTCTTGGATGAACACTAAATGAGCACAATTTCACTCACAAGGCTCAAAATGCACTCACAAAGGCTATTAGGGCTTCCAGGAACGTTTGAAGGTGAAGAGAGCTGATGGGGTTGAGGATTAACTGAGTTAAGGGCGTTTAAATAGGTCACAAGTCTGCAATTTAGGGTTTGCCACCTTGGCACGTACGCCCAACGTACGTCTAGCTCCTCCGCAACCATTCATACATAGTACGCTAATCGTACACTTAAATATGCCAGCGTAAACAAAGACCATTTATGCAAGAATGTGAATTCTTTGAGGATTTCAAGCCATACTTGGTTTAGAGCGTTACATCTCGGGTCACAACATTGTTGTTGCATTCTAACCATGATGTGGTGTGAAGTACGTGTGAGCATCAGAATAGTGTATCTGCTTTCGGAACCGGAACCGTATCGAAACTGCTGGTTCCAGTTCCTAAAGTTTAGGAAATGCCTTAAGCGGTTCTGCTTTTGGTTCTCATTTTTTAAGAACCGTTACTTGCCGAGTAACCGCAGGAACCGGTTTATTTATAAACTAACATTTATCATCCTGGATTTATATTAAATACTAAATTTAATTTTAATGGGTTATAAATAACATCTAAATAATCAACACTTTGTACTCATGTCACACCCCCGAACAAGAACGACAGAAACGTCTAGAGGTGGGTGACGTCATTGTGCAATATCATAACAATTGTATATAATTGAAGCATAGAAAATCCAAACATCATACATCAATATAACAAGCTTACATTGTTTTACATTATGTTTATGCTCTAAGTTTACACAAAAGAAACAGCAGTAAGCAAATTTCCAAAATACAGCAAAATAATCTTGAGTTAGCCATCCTAACCTACTTATTGATTTCCTGCGAATACAAGTCGTTTGAAAAGCTTCAACATAAAATATGTTCGTGAGTTAATAAGCATTTTCGTATAAAAACTTCGATGATAGTTTAGAAGTCCAAAAAATCCAATATTTCCTTATCAAAATAGTTGTAATTCTTGTTTCAAATCGAGTATAGTTGGATGTGTGTCTTAAATCATCATTTTTGAAATCGTACAAATCGTTTCCCCATAAAATCCTATATTTTCTGATGTGTAAAAATAGTAGCTTTGGTAAAAACATAACACTTGTATGGAAAAGTCTCATTGAGATAATAAAAACATAGTTGATTGTAAACCGAAGGTGAAATCTGTATAAATACATTTCTAATATATTCTAGTGAGTCGTTATAACCATACTAATGTGACGGAGTGTCTGTTATGACGTTCTTCAGGCGTCGGTTTTGTTCAAGACATTTGTCACCCTAGACTGGTCGGTCTAGCTGTAGCGAACAATGAAGATGCGGGGTGTCAACCCCATATAGATCTATACACAAATTCTCGTTCTCCCTCCAGGAGACTCTTGTTATAACTCTCACAGGACTTAAGGCGCACAATATTGTAGGAATATAGGTAGTGTGAATATTTGTCTGATTAGAATACTAACCGATCTTTGAGCATAACACGAAACCCATTATTTACTAAATAAATAATAATAGTTGTAATCATAACTAGATATTTCGCTTCGTTTGTTTCGTTTAATGAAATCAATCCACTTTGAAATACTTATCATAATGAACCGATATTATCAAAGCTGGAAAATAGCCCTTTTTCTTTATAAAATACTATGTGTGACTCAATTTTTCGAAAAATGCCAAGTTGTGATTTGTATAAAACTTTGAATTGTGAGATTTCATGACAGCAGCTTTATCACATGCGAATTTTTCTGTCATAAAGGCCCCATTTGTGTATTTCCTTGGTGAAATTACTTATCAATATTTATAAATAATCCCTAATAGTTTGCAAATAGTCACAAAGTTCCCATTTTTAAAAATTACTAGAAACAATGTAAACTTATCAAGGTCCCATTTTATAACTTTTATCTCTAGGCATGAAAGCATAGATAAAGGGGTTAAGTTTGACACACCCAATAGTTGGGAGGTGCTTTTGTACACAAAGTATCCTTTGTTCTTTATGAAGTTGTGAAAATTTACATTCATGAGAATATTACTAAAATAATAATTTAATAATATTTCACACATACATCCAAACATACGTATACATGCAATTACTCAAGTATTTAGACAAGATTTGACTTGTACTCTCCCCCAAAAACACTAAAACATTGAAAAAGGTGGGGTATCATGAAGCTCACCTTGGTTAGCTTGTTCGGTGATTTGAAGAGTGATGAGCAAGTTTCCAAGCTCCAAAACTTGGAAGATTCTTAAACCTTTAGAGGATTCTAAGAACAATTTTTGTATGTAAATATAAAGACATCTTAGAATAAT